GCACGGCCTGGCCGGCCCTCCCCCGGCCCACTCACCACCGACGTTGTTCTTGTACGTGTTGTACATCTCCTTCACCCGCCGGTAGCGGAAGGCCAGCTTCCTCATCCAGTCCACGCCGCCGTGGACGCCGGAGCCCAGGCACAGGTTGGCTCCCGGGGCCGAGCTGTGGAAGCCGTCGGCGGAGAAGTTGTATGTGCTGCGAGAGGGGGCGAGAGCCGCGGTCAGTGTGCGAGGGTGGGGGGGGGGGGCTCCTGGCCGGGAGACTGCGGGCCCCACGGCCCCCCGAGATCCCTGCGTGCAGTGGCCACGCTAGGAAAAGCCCCCTGCCCCCCTTCTGACGCCAGAAGGGAAGTCCAAACTATGGCTGTGGCCGGTTCATCCTGAGAGAAGAGTCTGGAAGAAAACAGGTTAGCTCCCGCTACTCCGATCCCCAAATCTGTGCTGTCTCGCGCCCCCTATAAGGCCCGGCGGCTAACCCCTCCTTCCCACTCTGGGAGCATCTCCCTGTCTTTCCACGGAAGTACCATATTCTAGTTTTTTAAAGTTTATTTTTATTTTTGAGAGAGCATGTGAACAGGGGAGGAACAGAGAGAGGAGACACAGAATCCGAAGCAGGCTCCAGGCTGTGAGCTGTCGGCACAGAGCCCGACGCGGGGCTGGAACTCATGGACCGCAAGATCATGACCTGAGCCGAAGTCAGACGCTTCACCAAATGAGCCTCCCAGGCGCCCTTGAGTTTTTTTGGGCTTGTTAAATTAGGCAGAGTCGATTGCTGGCTTTGCAGATGCGATCCTCTGCTCGGAATGAAGCATATGCTGGCCTAGCGAGTTCCACGTGTGGACGGGGGAGGAGCCAGGGTGTCACAGAAAGTTAAGGACAGAAATGGCAGCTGGGAGCCCAGACGGGAAAGTGGGGGCCGCTCCCCACCTGCAGCAACCAGCACGTGAGGACGAAAACCCCCGTCTTCTCTCCCTCCACCAGAAGCTCTGCTGGAGGTTTGCAAAATCATACCATCGCAGGGAAAAACCACAGCGTGACAAGGGACACATGTATAGTATGACCCAAAGCTTAAAAAATGAGTCTCTTTCTAGAAAAGAAAGAACAGGTCAGTGTGATGCCACAGCTGTCTCAGGCTGTGCGTTTGGCTGACGTTTTTCCTCTTTGCACTATGTTGCTGTTTCTAGATTTTCCGTGATGAGCTGAAGAGCGGAGAGAGAAAGGTATTTTATTTTTTAGCAAGACGCGCTGCGGCACGGGTGAGGCGACACTTGGAAACCGTATCTTGCGCACGTCTGGTACTTCAGTGCTGCTGCTGCGGCAGAGGTCAAAGGGCATTTGAAGGGCATGAGGGGCCGGGTCGTTCTCCCTGTGGGGCGTCTGCGGTGTGCACAGCCAGAGCATGGCACGATGTCACACGCTGCTGTTCTGTGCCTGGGGCTCAGCCTTCCTTGAGCGGAAGCCTGTGGAAGCCACAGAAACGCCTGGGATGAACGTCTCGGACTCATCAGCTAATTTCACCTTGGGGACTTCCTGGGGCACGTGGGCCAGGCGACTTAAAACAAAAGGCCTCGAATATAGACTCTGGCATTCTCCACAGCACACTGTGTGAAAAGCCAGAAAGAGACAGTGCCCACAGGTTCATATAAACACACACACCTGTGTCATTTGTCACGGACATTTCTGCGAGTGTGACTGTGTGTAACATTGGAAGCAAGGAAGTCATGAGGTCAGGACGCGGTTGGTTTGACACGGTGAGAATACGGGTGAGTATAGTTCCTTCTCAAATGTACAAAAGCCCGTGGAGAACATGGTCTGACCTAATAACCTGTTCGGACAAAAACGTTCTCTTTCCCACGAAAGATGTGAATGGCTTCATTACACAGACATGTTTGTTGCTTCTTCTCCCTTTCAGCCCCCCTTGGGTGGTGATGACCAGGGGTTAAAGATGAATGAAATACACCCAACTGGCAAAAGGGGGCCGACAACATCCAACCACGGGAGCAGGGGAGCCACGTGTCGGGGACTCACTCGTGCGGGGCGCTTTTCCAGCACGCAGGCAAGCCGGTGAGAAGCTTTACCCCGAAAATGACTTTACCCCGTCGCATCCCCTCGTTTCCAGAAGCCGCCCTTCAGTTGCCATGTGGTCCTTCCTCTTCTTTACTGCAAACATTCCCTTCTTACTAGATAATTTCTCCTTCTTTCTCAGAAACGTTACTTTCTGCCAACCTCATTTCCATTTTCTCTTTAACCGTCTGTGGAAGAACAGCCTTCGACCCCTCCGGGGTTGTTCCTGCCCGTTCGATGGCCGGAGCCGTGGGAGCCGCAGGCCAGAGTCCGGTGGTGGGCAGAGCACTGCGGTCCTCACCAGGGAGCCACCGAACAGGCACCGAGGGCAGCTGTGCGCCTCCCGACCCGTCTGCAGCCAACTCTGGAGCCAGGGCAGCCCGTTCCCCCAGAAGTTCCTCCTCGGTCACAGCCCTTCCAGCAGCGACCTGCTCTTCCTTCTCGATCTCTTCAGAAGTCTCTGTAGGAGCCGAGATCAGGCATGGCCTCCGCGGGTGGTCACGGGAGACGGTGCCACGAACGTGCAGGCTTTCCGGGGCCTCACTGGGCCCACCACGTGAGCCCCCTTGTTGCTGGATGCGGTGGCGATGTCCACAGGGCTCAGGGGAAGGTCTGTCACACACACAGCAACGGCAGGCAGGTTAGCACCTCTCAGGGCTGACCACTGTGAGAGGTGGGCGGGCGGTCAACCCTGGGATCAGTAGCCGCCAGAAGGCGTGGCTCCCCGAAGCTGCCCGGATCTGGGCAGGGAAGGTTCCAGAAGGGAGGTGGCCAGCAACAGGACCAGACCCCGCAGTGGCAGCACACTTCAGCACAGCATCCCTGGGGGCTAGGACACCGACATCAGCCGGGTCTTCAGTGGCAACCAAGTGATGAGGTGTCAACAGAGCCTCTTCTGCGTTTCTTCAGATTTCTGATGTATGTGCCAATGCCAATACCTTTCCTTCCGTGGATCACTGTTCTGTTTGGAAGTCAAGGTTGTGCCACCAAAGTGGGTTCCTGCTGTAAGAAATCTGGGGACACCCTCCTGCTTCACTGGCAAGACATCAAGGACTCCGGACATCGCAAAGGTTTTCCTTTTAAGTTACGACGGGAAGCCAGGGCACCGCCTTACAGAACCCTCGCTGGGTAGTGTGGGAAGACCAGATAACTTAGTCTTGAAAAAGAACATTGACTAAGAACTCAGAGGAAACCCTGGGGAGATGCCTGGATGTTCTGCCAAGAGGTGGAGGGCAGGGCAGGGCGTCCCTGAATCCTGCACCCCTCCCCCCCCTTACCAGCTGGGTGAGGTTCGACAAGTTACTTAATCTCTCTGTGCCTCCTATTCCCCGGCTGTCAAATGGGGATGACTGTGATGGGGCAAAGTAAGGGCATTACCAAGGTTCGTTTCTGTTGTTCACTGAAAAAAAAGAAAGGGCGTTTGATGCTTGGTGCCTGGTGCACAGCAGGTGCTCAGAAGAGATTTCCTGAATGAAGAAATGGGAGAGCTTGGTTTTTATGGGGGGAAAACCTCCTTGGATGGCGGGTTCTGGAAGTGAGGTTCCAAATAGCTCAGCACGAAACCCGGTTCAGAGCAGCACTGCTCTCTGCCCCAAGCCAGCCAGCTACAGGGAAGCTTTATAAAAATGGAACTCTGGTCCCTCACCGCTGTGAAGGGGAGAGTGGTTCCCAGCTGTGACGTCATGGAAAGGACACAATTAACCTTGATCTGCGGTTTATTTACTCCCTAAATAGAGAAACCTTGGCTGGCACTGGAGGATTGCTCCCTGCCAGTCCTCATTGCGAGGGATTTTCAGAACGGCTAATTAATACGAAGCAGGCGCTGGCCTATCACTCCCAGTTGTGCCGGGCTTTGAACCGACTCCCAGGGCCCAGTCACAGAAGCTTTGATTTGTTTTTTTGGAGTGAGACAGAGGACACAGACACTAAACGACGTTACTGGCCCCCTAAGCGAAGTGTCATTCGGTGTAATAATATTTCTGATGGGCCAAGAGGCACTAGGTTGTGATAATTTTGGATAAGTGCAGAGTAACTATGGTTCCACTTTTATAAGGTTTTCTCAGGGGCAGGCTTGGAACATTCCAGCCACATTCCTCTGAAAGCTGTCTCGTTTTGGGTACCTTATTTCTGGAATCCATGTCCTAGGAGGGTTTGCCCCTAGAAACCAGACACATACCTCTTACTCAGTCCAGAAATATTCTGAGTATCGACTGATCAACTTTTATAGTAAATACTGTACGTGCGCTAATGAAGGGGTGCCAAACTCTTAGTGGCGGTGATTCCGGGAGGCTAGATCAGGTGGTGTTTGAGGTTTTTTACGATGTGCACGCCTTACTTTAGTAAGTAGGAAAAAAAAAACTGCAGCGAGATAAACATAAGCAGAGTCCTGGAGAATCTGAGGAAATCGCCGCCTCGGTGACTGGAGGTGATGGGCAAGAGTCTGCAGGGTGGGGGCTGGGCTGCAACCTGTGGGTTCTGGCAGAGGCAGGCACACACATCAGCCTGATAACCAGCCCGCCCCTCCTCTCCGCTTCCTGGTGAAAGGCAAGCTGGATCGCCAATCAAAAGGGGGCATTTTGGACTCCCCAAAGTCTTACCTTAAATCTTGCCCGTTGTCATCGGATGAGACGTCGTCAACGTGGATCTGGTCGCAATCCTGCGGAGAATGTGGCACGAAGAGAAAGACAGGGAGAGGTGTGGCTGGTTAATCTGCTGTAGCCTCTGAGAGCTGAGCGGGGGAGCACTACCCTGGGAGTCACCAGCCCTGGATTCTAGCCTGAGCTCTGCCACTAAAGGTTAGGCGACCTCCGGTTGGTTAAGTCTCTTCCCTTCTTTTGCTTTTGGTTTCCCTATAAATGAGCAGGTTGGGTGTAAGGTGGGGCGGTGACCATATAACTTATCATGCCAACCAAGATAGTTCTGCAAGTCAAAGGCGCTGCCGTGAAGATTACATTGGAGGGACAGGCACAAAACAGTACCACCCCTCTCTACCTGTGAGTATGTTAGGACATATGGTCACCCTGGCCCGATAGTGGAAACCTTTTTCTTAACCGAGGTATCTTCTTCCACTCGGAATGCTCCCTGCCTTCATCCGCAGAGTGAACTTAGTATTCTTCAAGCATTAGCTTCTGGAGGTACCCCCTTCCCCAGTCCTCCTCGGGGTCCGATGATATGTGATCATCATTTATTGAGTACTTACTACGTGCCAGGCACCATTCCGAGGGCTTGTCATTCCGCCACCCACACATCCCCCCTTTCTCTTTGGGGAAAACACCTTAACACCTGCGAGTTAAGACCGAGGGGGAGGGGGGGCGAGGAAAATGGCCTCGTGACCCAGGCTCAACCAATCAGAGAGACCCAGGAGCCCTCCGGCTTCAGCGATTGCGTCAAAGATGAGCACGTGATCTAAACTGGACCAATGGGAGAGCCAGCCCTGGGAACTCGACTGGGACCTTGGCTGCAGCTGTCGGAGGGTGGTGGTCACGTTATCTGAGCCCCTGGACCCGGCGCCAGCTGAAACCAGGCCACCCTGACTGTGGTAGGTAGAATAATGCTCAGCCCCCCCTGCCCAATGTCCATTCCTAATCCCATGGTCGTCATGTGGCAAGAGGGCCTCCGCAGATGTGATGAAGTTTAAGGTCTGGAGATGCGGAGAGCAGTCGGGATTCTCCAGGTGGGCCCTAAATGTAATTACAAGGGCCTTTGGGAGTAAGAGGCAGAGGGATGTGGGAAGACGGGAGAAGGGGATTGGGGCGATTGCTTTAAAGACGGAGGAAGAGGCGACGGGCCAAGAACTACAGGGTGCCCCCCAGACGCCCAGATTCTCCCTTCAGAGCCTCCTTGACGTCTTTCGCCCAGTGACACTGATTCTGGACCCCTGACCTCCAGAACAGTGAGAGAACACGCTGGTGTTGTTTTAAGCCACTGCGTGTGTGGTAACTGGTTACAGCCGCTGCAGGAAACGACTCCATGGGCCCTTGGGCTCCAGCTAGTGGAGTGGCCGTTCTGTCACTCGGCCACCGGGCAACACCACACCCTCCACGAAGCTACGCGCCGTGCACGCCCATCGGTCACCTCTGCCTCCGGCATAAAGTCCATCCAGGCGACAGGCTGATGCGGCACCAGTGGTGAGCGTGTTCTGCCCGCCGCTGCGGTCCTGGTGAAGCCCAGGCTCCGGAGTCAGACTGCCTGGGTCTGGATCCTAGATCCAGCCACTTCCCGGCTGTGTGACTTTGAGCCAGTGGCATAACCACCCTGAGCCCTAGAGGTGGGATGGGGAAATGGGAGATAAGGGAACCTCCTTCGCGGGGCTGACGGATGTGAGAAGCGAGAGGCTCTGCTGGGAGCGTCTGGTACAGTGGCTGGAACACGTCAGGTACGGGGACGCACGCCACTCTTCTTATCGTGTTAAGATTTAAACATGTCCACATTTAGGTGTCAGGGTGATCTCAGGAGGCAGGTGGCTCCTGGATGCGACTCTGAGCTTGACCTCTAAGAAAACGATTGGTGGTAACACCTCTGGACTCTTGTTGAGGGGGTAGCATCTGGGAAAGAAATAGCGGTTTCTATTATTTTGAGCAGATCTCTTTTTACATAAGGACGGGGCTTGAATTTATCTTTGAGAACAGAGCTCTGCTGGGGGATGATGGGAACCCCTTTCCTCATTAATTCTTTAAGATATGTAGAGGTAACCGCGTTGTGATGGGAGATGTGGGGGCAGGGTGGGGGTGGGGACAGTGGCATTTGGGGCAGCCCGGGCTCCCCTGTGGGGATCGGGGCTGGAACTTGGGACAACCGGTGTGGCCACTGGTCCCTCTCTGGGGCCCGGAAAGGGCTTTGGATTGAAAAGGGGTTTGCTGGGAGGTGAGGTTTGCTTCCACAGTCCCGGGCACACTCGGGGCTCACGGCTCAGTGGCAGTGACAGAGCATGACTCAGGGTCCTGACGCATAGGACCTCACGCCTCCGTGGGCCCGGGACAACGCCTGGGAACAGGCAGCAGTGTGTGCTCTGACTCGCCTGGATGGGAAGGGCAGGGGGAGGTCCCACCGTATGGCTTCCTAGGGGTCAGCCGTGGGCAAGCGGAAATCGGTGAGGAACATGGCAAATGACAAGTGGTAACCCCAACTGAGAAGCTCTTTGGAGAGTGCTGGAAAAAAACTGGGGACGCTGAGTGACCACTCGAGCTGGCAGACATCTGGCTTACACCTAAACCTCTACCGTTCCTCATTCCGTAGTTCCTTCCTTTCCACGTATCTGGGATTCTGACTGACGCTTGGTGGTCTTAGGTATCGTCGATCCCCTCCCCAAGAGGGACTGTCCTTTCCTAAAGTAGTTGAGCGCCATGGTACACCCCAACTTGAAAGATTTTATAGTCATGCTAATACTGTAGTGGTTGGCCATATGTGGTTATTTATATTATTTTCAAGTTAAACTCAACTGCATAAAAAATTGAGTTCCTTAGGCCTATTTCAAGTGCTCAGTAACCACATGTAGGCAATGGCTGCCGTACTGGAGCACTGTGCACGTACTTGCCTCGGCCCAGAAAATTCTAGTGGACAGTGCTGCTCTCGAGGGGTAAACACACCAGGCTGACAACTTCTCTTCTGTGTTGACAAGTTCGATTCGGGATGAGCTCGCAAGCCAGCCTGGAGACGTATCTTATTCAGCCCACACTACGCTTGAAAAATTGTTTGGGAACAAGAGCCAATATGTGAACTCAGGGGACCTCTCTTTCCCTGTCTCCGTCCTCTCCCTTCCTGCTCTCACTCTTTCTCTGTCTTTCCAGATTCTCAGCTACTCTGAGACAGTGCAGGGCTTGCATTGTTCTGTCCCATCCGCCCTTAGCCCTTTCCAGCGCTCCACGGTCTCGTCTGGGTCTTCTTCCCGTCACGTCACCTGGTTACCTGGCCCCTGTGGGCTTCCTAGTTTGAGCCCTCTGACCCACAGACCTCGTATACCAATCGAAGGGTCCCGGGACAGCAATCCTGATACGTCAGCGAAAGCTGTCTTCAAAAAGCCAACGCGGACTTCGAAGACCCAGGCACAGAGAAGACCAAATTAGTAGCAGGCTTCTCCCCCATCCAATGCTTTGCCTAAAATTGGAAAAACACCTCCCGTGCCCCCCTCCAGTCCTTGCCGTGAGGCTCAAAAGCTGCCCCGGGGGTCACACGGGCTCAGGCCCCTGGGCAGGGGCACCCACCGCTTTCCCTGATGTCAGGGGAAAGGTATGTGGGAGGCTCTGGTTTTCTCATTTGCAAGGGGATTGTTGGGGGCGCTAAAGTGTGACAACAGTAGCGATCACATTTCGGACTCAATAAAATACCATGACGCTCAGCTAGACGCTACCTCATACTCCACCAGCTGACCTGGATCCAGTTACCCGCTGAGGCTGAGCCGGCAATGAGAGGAGTGAGCTCTGGGGGAGGAAGATCCTATGCGCCTCAATTCTCCTGCACGGGGGGCGGGCCTGTACGGTGGAGGGCACCAGCTTTTCACAGCCTAGGGTGCTTCTGGCCTCTTCAGAGTCACGTGTGACTATTCTGGGGGGTCTGAGTGGGACCTGCTAGCAAAGACCGAGGAAGCGTCCCCGTGGCCTTGACCTGGGTGAGGTCTGGGCCCCAGTGCAATCCCAGCAGCAAGGAATTTACACTTTCTGACTTATGGAAACACCCACACATCGTCTTGTGCAAAGATGTCCACCATCCCGGTGAGAAACAGGAAAACACCTAAAGTTGCCTCAACTGGATCATCACTAAACGCAACGTGGTATGTCCATTCAGCGGAATCCCGCCCAGCGGTTCAGACGAATGAGGTGGATTTTTCTGTTAGCACACGGAAATGTTTCTAAGACGTTCTATTGGGTCAAAGACCCACGAACAACACGGGGGTTGGGGCACTGAACCCTGTGTAGTCAAAGATCTGTGTATCACTTTGGACTCCCTCCCGAAACTTAACCACTAATAGCTGTTGTTGACTGGAAGCCTTACTGATAATATGAACAGTCAATTATCACATAGTTTATATGTGATACGTATTACATAGTATATTCTTACAATACAGTGAGCTAGAAAAAACAGTTATTAAGAAAATCACAAGGAGGGGTGTCTGAGTGGCTCCATCGGTTAAGTGTCTGACTTCAGCTCAGGTCATGATCTCACGGTTCGTGAGTTTGAGCCCTGTGTTGGGCTCTGTGCTGACAGCTCAGAGCCTGGAGTCTGCCTTGGATTCTGTGTCTCTCTTTCTGCCCCTCCCCTGCTCGCATTCTCTCTTTCTCTCTCTCTCTCAAAAATAAATAAGCATTACAAAAAATTAAGAGTAAAAAAAAAAAAATCACAAGGAAAATGCATTTACAGTACTGTACTAAATTTATTTAAAAGTCTGGGGGCGCCTGGGTGGCTCAGTCGGTTAAGCGGCCGACTTCAGCTCAGGTCACGGTCTCACGGTCCGTGAGTTCGAGCCCCACGTCCGGCTCTGTGCTGACAGCTCAGAGCCTGGAGCCTGTTTCCGATTCTGTGTCTCCCTCTCTCTGACCCTCCCCCATTCATGCTCTATCTCTCTCTGTCTCAAAAATAAATAAACGTTAAAAAAAAAAAAAAAAGCGGGGCGCCTGGGTGGCGCAGTCGGTTAAGCGTCCGACTTCAGCCAGGTCACGATCT